AGGCTTTGCTCTCTCTTGGGTGCCAGCTTCTTACCAAGAACCACTCTGTATCGTCTCTCACAGACTGCTGCCCTCTTCCAGCGCTCGCTTTGCCACCATTTTAGCCGAGCGCTTCCACAATACTCGGTGCAACTCAGAAACCACATGCTCCCTCCACCGTTAGCCTCGTTCATAGTTCCCCGTGCGTGCACAATTTGAGCCGGCACCGAACAAACCTCACATCACATCCACTGCGCCCTCAGCCGAGGTCATCCTCGTCGGCACAAGGCTTCGTATCTTGCATGTGTCAATTCATCCCCTCCTCAGTTTACAGACTTCAGTTGCCCCCCGGCTGATACGACATGGGCGACAAGTTTGACCTTCGGCTACTGAAGCGATCTTTGGGCGAGACAAGAAGAAGCAGGTCCATTAAAACTCTGTATGGGGATAAGTCTTGGGTGGAAGATTTGGATATTGTCAATGAGCTTGGAGCTCACACCGGTTGCGTCAATGCCCTCTGGTATAGGTCTCACCAATTCTGCCGTCCCCCTCCGTTCTCGTTGCGTGCGTAAGGGACACCTGTGCTGATACTGTCTCTGGTAGTTGGTCGAAAAGTGGCAACCTTCTGGCTTCAGGCTCCGATGATACCTATCTCAATATCTGGGATTACAATGCACCTGGCAGTACCCAGCCCTTCACGCTGAACACAAGTGTGAGCACCGGTCACCATGCAAACATCTTCTCAGTCAAGTTCATGCCCCACTCGGGCGACCACACCGTTGTTACATGCGCCGGAGACTCCGAAGTCCGCGTCTTCGATCTGGAATATGCTGGAGCTGCGAGCCAGAGCACGTCGAGCGACGCAGGCACAAGAAGCCGGAGGTTCAACAGGTTCTTTCGGAACGCGAGGTGGCTGAATGAAGGCAATACCAACTGTCGGGTATATCGAAGCCACTCAGATCGCACAAAGAGAATAGTGACCGAGTCCAGTCCTTACCTGTTCTTGACGTGCTCCGAGGATGGCGATGTGCGACAATGGGATCTCAGACAGCCTTCGTCAGCATATCCTGCTCCTCGGGGTCTCCGGGGCTTCGCACGATTTCACCAGGGAGCTCAGAGCGACAGTGGCGACTCGCCTCCTCCCCTCATTTCTTACAAGAAATACGCCCTCGATTTGAACACCATCTCCTGCGCGCCCAGTCAGCCACAGTACATTGCGCTTGGTGGGGCTCATCTTCATTGCTTTTTGCACGACAGGCGCATGCTTGGTCGAGATCTGGGCTCTGAGAAGGGCCAACCTGGCACTCGAAAGCCTGACGCGGGCTCCCCGGAAGACGAGGCCATGGCTGACGCAACCAGGTGTGTTAGACGATTTGGGCCTAACAACAAGCGCAAGATGGGACCGCGTGGACATGGGCATATCACGGCGTGCAAGATCAGTGATGCCAACCCCAACAATCTCGTGGCCTCTTGGTCTTCAGATCATATCTACAGTTTTGATATCGTCCAGTCGCCCGACGTGAGGGAAGCCGATGCCCGAGCCCATGAAGGTTTCCTGCTTAGAAGCTTTTCCGGCCGCAAAAGGAAGAGGGGAAAAGCGAACGCCTCTTCCAGCAGTCTGGGCGATGCAGCCAATCCCAGTAGGCGTCTACGGAGGGTTCCGGACGACCGTCCAGAAGAGGGCCGCACTGCTCTGTTGGCAAGGTTCGCTGACGGAGAGTCTGAGCTTATCCCTATCCCTTCCCCCATGTCCGAAACGACGGCCGGGACCCCGTCAGCTCATGAGCTCCTGCTCTCGGAAGCTCAGAAATCGAGTGAACGGGTGGCAAGATCACTCATTCAACTCCGCAAGACCTTGTTTGACTTCTCTGCCTCATTAAGCGCCGATGTTTCTGCGTCTCTAGAGGGGACTTCAGATCTCACACCCCATACGGCCGCATTTACTAGTGCCCTTGGCCGATGTGCCTCGCTGCTTCCTCAGATGGACGAGGTCATCCGTACATGGTCATACCCGATAAACCCGAGTGAGGAGGATGTCACCCTACAAAATACCTTGAGGAGAAATCGACAATCGAGTTGGCGATTCGTGCAAGCAGCTGGCTGTTTGGCCCGCACCCTCGGTGGACGTTTGCAAAGCCTCACCTCAGCCCCGGATGTTCGGCTCGCACAATTCGACCAGATTAGACCTGCTGCTCACGAAGGTAAGAACATCTGCAAAGAGTCGAGATTTTGCTACGACTTCCTGAAAGCCATTCTTCTGTGGCTAGATGGTGGGCAAGTTGCGGTGTTGCAAGGGTTTAAGCGGCCGCCCAACGTGAGTACCGATAGTCCTCGATTTCCCCTCGATCGAGAGGACACGGTACAAACCTTTGTGCCGAAATTGGAAGCCTATCTCTTGGATCTGGCAGAAGAGGAGACCCCGGTTGTGGACCTAGACACAAATCGTTTCGAGCGGGACGAAACTCGTCATGTTTTTCGGAATCAGAAGTCGGCTGTGCAGGCTTTCACGAGAGCCCTCGGCAATATTGAGCTGGTAGCCAGCCATGGTATGTCTGAGACTCGGTCTGACCCGTCGAATCCCTCCACGACAATACGCGTGATGGACAAGGGCGCAGCAACCAGGTTCTGGGGGCTTAAGGTAGGCCGCTCCCTACTCATGCGTGCCGCGGAAGGGGTTACGTTCGATTTTGTGAACCGAGCGTTTGGGGGGTTGAGACTTCGGTTGGCCAGCTCAGATTTGGAGGAAGAACGGTCTCAAGAAGACATCGACCCGGACGAAGAGGAACGCATTGTTGAAGCTATCGACATTGTGAGAACCCACTTGGGGGAGTCTTCAACGGAGTCGGCCCAAACTCCGCACGAGACCACGGAGGGATCCAGCCAGCCAGATGTAGAAATGGGCACTCCACTTACTGTCCACGTCGAGGATGCGGACGAAGATGGAAACGAAGACAATATCGAGGGCGAAGAATGGGAATCAGACACTTCAGAGACCGAGGAAGACGACGACGATGGGGAGGCTCCGGAACGTCTCTTCTTCCGACGGCGTATCGGGTTTGCGCGGTATCGTGAACGAGCTTCGGTGAATCTCCAGGTACCCTACACGTCACATACCAAAGTTTACAAAGGCCATTGTAATACACGGACTGTCAAGGACGTGAATTTCTGTGGTCTCAATGATGAGTACGTTGTCAGCGGCTCCGATGATGGCAATTTCTTCATCTGGGACAGGAAGACGTGCAAGATCCTCAATATTCTGGAAGGAGACGGCGAGGTTGTCAATGTGGTTCAGGGCCACCCGTATGAGCCTATGATTGCTTGCAGCGGCATTGACAGTACCGTCAAAATCTTCGGTCCCGGAGGCGACAGTCGAGAACGCGAGGCGGCAGAAAAAGGGATCGACGTTGCTAATCCTGGTGGAGGGGTGCACTCGTCTCTCAGATTTGGAGGTCGACGGAGCCGACGCACTCGGGGTGCAGACGACGACGATAGCGATGAGGATGACGATGGCTCTGGAGCCGTGGCTTCCAGTGGACTCCGAAGTCGTCGGGCAATGCACCGCAGCTACGAGATCACCAGTCAGAACGATGTGGAACTGAGGCGCACTGCAGAAGACAGTTTTGTCACGGTAGGTTCCATGGACGAGCTGTTGGTCAGGGCATGGATTATGTCGAGTCTCCATATGATTTGACGGACGCACGCACCTCCACGCCATCCCCCACGCTAGGCTGCAATGGCATCTAACATCTATTGTCAAAGCAGGAGGGGGTGCTTGCTAGGTTTGCATTGGCGATCCAAAGAGGCCAGATGACAGGAGTCACCGGGGGAGGGTTTGGCGAGGCAGGCGGCACTATAGTGGTCGATGACAATTGTTTGGTCAGTTCATTCCCAGTAAGACGTTTGTCTCAGGCTTGCTGATGATGATGATGCTTAGATCATGTGAGAAGATTTCTGTCAGTGGCTCAATCCCGGCCAATGCACCTCGTCACCGACGCGAAGGGTCCCAAAACACAGACATGTCCAATTGGTGGAGAAAGAAGGGCCAGAATGGGAAGACGTACCGTGGCTTTTTAGGCTCTGATGGGAGCGAGACTCTGGCTGACCCAGGCATGAATTGGATATCCACGGAGAGAACGTCGGACAGCCAGCTCCCATCACCCCGAGCGATCGTATTTCATCGTCTGGTTGAAGAGGGCTTTACGGGGAATGTCCGAATGTGAGCGAGGATCTGGTTGTACCATGACCAATTCTGGGCTGGATAGGCAATAGGTCAACCGATTCGTGCATGCGTTTTCAGTATCTAGGCTGCTCACAGAACGTAATACCACGATAGTATGGCACTGGGGCCGCCGTACCTCGCTTTTCGCTTTTCGGCTCCGCAGTGGCCAGTTCTATTCCGTACATGGCCCCGATTTCCGCCCCCTCCGACTTACGAGGATTATTGATCCCAGTGGATGGTCAGGCCAGGCCAGGTCACTGGTGCCACTGACCAATGCGTATATCGCATATATCGTGGATCGTGTAGCGGTGGTTCGTTCCATCGGCTCCGAGGTCGCCAAAAAAAAAAAGGAGCGAGGAGGGGCTTACGAAATGGTCAGTTTCTGACATACATATGTATGTACGAGGTACCTCATCGGAGCTATTATGTACTCAGCTAGCTCGCCGTTGCCGTTTGTATCCAGAATTGGGGCTTGCAAGGCTTGTTGGCCGTGGGGACGGTGGAGATCGGAGATGGAGATGGAGATGATGGTGGTGCAGACAGGACATATTACGAAGTCCGGACTTCGAGCACTGCTTGCACGGAGTACTGTAGGCAGGCACCTCGTACTTGGGTAATATTATCATTGAGTGAAATGACCATTCGTCATGAATCCGCCCTCTACCGTTCTGCCGTTCTCTGAACGTGGTAGTTATCTATCAGTGTTGCTCCCCAAAAACGCCTTTCCTTTTCCCCTTAGAGCACGCAGAACAAGCCATTCTACGCCCCGTTTTTCCACTCAAAACAACATCGATGCACGTATTCAACCGTGGGAAAAAAGCGTGAGACGTCCGTCTATCAGATCATCGGCGATCTTGCGCAACCCGTCGCCAACGCCCAGTCCACCGATGTTGGTCATGACCATGTACGTTCCCTCGCGGTCCTCTTCACCACCACCACCACCACCACCGTTCCCAATGACAGCGTACGCGACCACGTAGTTGTACCTGTTGCTCCCCGGGTGCGAAATGCTGTAGACGGAGCCGTCTGGGTTCCGCCGTTGACAATGCCACCCACCGGGCGTGTAGATGTCGTCGTCTGCGTAGGGCGTGTGCAGGAATTTGAACATCTCCTGAGACAGCCCGAGAGGCGTGTCTAACCCGTTGACTCCATCGATGTGAGCCTGCAGGAACTTGTTGTACTGTGCCATCGGCGCATGAACCCGCGCGGCTGGGTTGAAAGCCGGCGGTTTGTCGCGGTGGTCAAAGTCGACGTCTGAAACAGGTTCCGCCGCTCCATACGGCTCCGACACCCACCGGTGTGGCCAGGGATTGCAGATGGAAGTGACGTTGGTCTCATCGTTGGGCCCAAACCCTGTGTGTTGCATGCCCAGAGGCTCGAAAATTCGAGTCTGGACAAAGTCTTCCCAGGTACTTCCGGTGATCAACTCTATGATGGCGGCAGTGATCAAATAGTTGGTGTTGTCGTAACAAAATTTGCCCTTGGTTCTCGCTGGAGATTGGGTCAATGCTTTCTGGACCATCAACCATCGACCCTGCTTCGGGGATATGTCGGGCCTGTACAAGGACTCATAGAACGGGGTATCGGCAGCCCAGTCAATATCGAGGCCTGATCGATGCGACGTCAACATCTTGATCGTGGTGCTCTTGTGCTCCTCGGCCATAGAATCAGCGAGAGAGGGAATGGCTTCCTCCAGTGTGGAATCCCACCGCAAATGTCCAGCTTGAACCAGAATTGCAAAGGTAGTGGCCGTCATCGCCTTGGTGTTTGACGCCAGATGAAATTGATCGTCCTTGGTGATCTTGAGCGAGGCCCCTATCCGCCTCAGACCAGTAACCGCAGAGGAAAAGTCGCCATGTCTGCTGGAAGCGGCGGCGAGGCCCGGGTAGTTGTACTCCTTGCGTAGCTTTTCGAGGAGCGTATCCCCTACCGTTATTGAGGCCGATGACAGATCCGGTGGGCTGTTTGAAAAGGGCCATCTTGAGCAGAAAGTCAGTGTCCCCGTCAAATGATAGGTATGCCGGCCGTTGCCGCAATCAATACTTACAGCCACCCCCACAACCCGGACATATCGAGGGCGAAGAGGCAGAAGGCCACGAATGCGAACTGTATCCAACGACGACGACTCTGTGTTCCCTTTGAAGACGGAGGATGCATCATAGCGATGGACGAGATGAGGATTTTCTCACACTTTCTAGGTAGCAGCTTTCGGATACTTTGCGTGTGAAGTGACAGGAGCGAATCGGATGTACGCTTGGCTTGTTCCGAGCTCTGCCTCACCGCTAGGCTGGACAGTCGGATTCACCAGATGTCATGATATCTGTGAATGCTAAAGTACCGTCAGTCATGGTTTGGACTGAGGCGGTGAGGATGTGTTGTGGCAGCAGCGAAAACAAGCAGCCAGACTGTCACTCGGCTGTGGCACCCACATACATGTTGATATTCACTTGTTGGCTTGAGTCCAAAAGAGGAATAGCCTGACAATACCTTAAGCATGAGACTAAAGCTTGTACCACTTGACTAGGCAGGTGGTGACTGATGTGTTCCTTCCCTAAGATACACGTTTCCCTCAACTTTCGAGGGGCAGCCTCACTCTTAGGCTCCTTTAACTAGTGGCAACGCCGTCTGCCATCTGCCATCTGCCGTGGCGTATGTCGTGATGCTTCGCCCCGTTTGATTCGTGCTGTTTGGTGTATTTGGGTGTCTACAAACATACCGTGTTACCATCCCCGTCACCAGGCAAACGGGTGTCCAAAAAGGCAACCGTGCGGCTCTGCGGACCGAGCCTTTCCGAGTCATTCTTGGCACTTCAAACTTCTCCATAATGCTTGATCCCATTGGACAGCGGCTCTGGCCCCCGCTGGCTAGTGTTCGCAGTGGATCTCGAGTTTGCTCCATGTCAATCACTTCCTACACACCATCCACCCACCATCAGGCTGGCCAGCCTGATACTGGACAACATCCACCTGAGAGCATCAACATTGCGCCCATTGCCTTGCTTCGCTTACGAGGATGATGGCCGGATTAAATCCTTTCGGCCAGACAGCCCAGAATTCCGAGCCTTGTTTGTCCACGTTTTTGAACATAAACCCCAAAGAGTCCGAAGCGCATGGAGACTTCCTTGGTGGAAAACACCCTCTTCTCTTATGCCAACTGAAACCGCGGCCGAGCCTTCTAGAAAGCCGCTCAATGAAACCCTTTGCATAGCGAAGCATGCCACGACTGGGGAAATGGGAGATCTCCGCCTTCTATTCGGCACAGCGACCAATTGAGCTGAAACGCATCACGCCGTCTAATACCATCTTCTGTGACCCTAACATCAACCGCCATTCGGCAGACGCAGTGGCACAGATTTCGTCGCAAAGCTGCGCGTGGAACTATGTCTCAAGATCTAGAGAAGCTGCACCCATTGTCGGCGGCGAGCCTAAGGAGATATTTGAGAACAGTTATCCTGAGCCAGAGGAAGGTGTGCGACCTCGCGCCATCGAGTTTGAATCTTGCAAGCCTCTCCCTAGCCACATCCGTGGCCGGTTGAAGAGGAGACCGGTCCCCTCCATTTCAAATTATGCCTCCATACGAGGACATATCATCAGACAGATACCAGGATATTCGGTGGCCATCCTCGATGTCTGCCCGAACAACACAGATACATCCACGAGCAGTGGCATGATATCGAAAGACATCGCGTGTCAGCAGCCTCAGCAACTCGTCCTGAAATACTACTCCGCCGCCGAGATCACGCGTGACCCACGACGAACTGGCCGGGAGTACGTTCCGTGCTTCTTCAACGAGGTCAATGCGTATGCCCAGGCGAGGGCCGCCCAGGGAACAGTCCTACCGTATGTTTGTGGGGTGTATGAGGATGCCAGTACCGCGGTTGTGACGGGCCTCTATCTGGTCATGGAATACCTCCCCAATTCGACCACTCTAAGAGACATGGATAGCCATCTTCGAGCAAGTTCGGTGCGCCTCCTTCGCGAGAAAACCGCGTTTGCTTTGCAGGCGTTGCATTCCTGTGGCGTCTCGCATGGCAGTATGAAGAGTAACCAACTGCTCATCTGCGCAGACACTCATGGCGAGAATGAGCACTCCACGTTTTCGGAGAGAGAGGATTGGTTTGTGGTCATCGTTGACCTGCAGTACGCTAGGTGAGCTCCTTCCCCAACCCCCCATATCTCTGGCCCACAGATTGGGCACACCGAGATCTGATACACCTCCCAGGTTTCACCGCGACATGCATGAGTTGGAGTTGGCAGCCGAAGCAGACCAGCTGGCCCTGCGAGAAGCATTTTCTTACTGTGGCTGCAAAGCGGAAGAAGACGACGACGATGAAGCGTATCAACAATTTGTTCGGGAACGTCAGTTTTCCATGGGTTACTGTTGAGAGGATAACCGCTGTAACAACCGCCGTCACGGCCTCCCGGAACCGGTGAATGTATGGTCAAAGGATTGCCAGATTCTCTTGAGCTTCAAAAAACTCGTCGGCACTGTCCAGATCTGATGATTCTTCGGCTTCGTTTTCGTCACCGGGACAGGGACGAGGTCGAGGAGACTGTTCATTTCGTCGCTTCATCAGGACCGCAAGCCAGTCCTTCATCGCTCGCACAAACTCCTCGCTCAAAGCAATACTCGTGGCCCCGTGTAAAATGTCTCGTGCTGTGTAGCCAAAGGCATCCTGTTTCTCGGGGTTTAGTTGCGACAAATCGAACCCTCCATTCGCAAGCACGTCCAACGCCTTCATACTCCCCTTAGACGCGACACGGTGAAGAATCGACTGCCCCACGTCATCACCAATGGTGTAGTCTGCGCCTCTCCTCATCAACACCCTAATCACATTCACACTATCGTAATCGATTGCTTCCATTAGTGGGGTCGAGCCGCCCGCGCTTTGTTGATCGATCCGCGCTCCGTGGTCCAGTAGACATGTCACCATTCGCGACCGGTTGTTCAGAGCAGCGCGGTGCAGGGCCGTCTTCCCTCGACTACTACTACCGCTTCCACCAACAGACGCGCTGCTTGGAGGAGACACCATGGCATTCACGTCCGCGCCGCCGTTGATCAAAGCCAGCATGTAGGCCGGGTCGTCTTGATTCATCGCCGCGGTGTGCACGGGTGGCCAGCCGCCCCAATCGCAGGAAGATACTGATGCGCGGGCCTTGACGAGCAGACGAACACATTCGGGAGATTTGCTCCGCAGTGCATAGTGCAATGGGGACGCCTTGAATTTGGAGCAGATGTTGGGGTCGGCATCGTGACGGAGAAGCTGGGCCACACTCTTCACGTCGCCCCTCTGCGCTGCCCACGATAGAGCAGTGCGGTTCTCGGTATCCACGGCGTCGACGTCCGCGGCACGAGACTCGAGAAGTTTCTGCAATTTAACGCGAAGGAGACCGAGGAGGCATTTGTGAATCACAGAAAAGCCCTTTTCGTCAAGGACGTCACCTGACCCGAAGAGTCGTTTGAAATTCTCTGCGAGAGGGGAATTCTCCGGTTGCGTGAGGATGACGGTCCACGCTTTGTCCACGGCGGAGCTGCCCACACTGTTTTCGATTGTCGGGTCCGCGCCGGCGTGGAGGAGGAGCTCACAGATCTCCGGATGGCCAAAGTCGATGGCATACTGCAAGTCGAATTAGCTATCAATGTCACATGTCCTCTAAAGGAGTCTAGTAGCCTACGTGTAAGGCCGTATTTCCGAAATTTGTGTGTACCTCGTCTGGATGGGCGAGCTTCTTTGAGAGTATGTCCCGCGCAGCTAGCACATTACCTTGGGCTGCAAAGATGAAGAGCTCAGAGCGTTGGACGACGGTGCGTAGTGAAATATGGATGGAGACTTTGGAGAGGGTGTTGACAATGCCCAGGGAGACGGCGCGGGAAAAGTACCACGAGGGGAAGTGGTACGTGGCTTTGACGCTGAAGGTAGTGTTGCGGGTGCAGGATGCTTTGGAGCATTTTTGTCGGCCCAACGGTAGACCAGAGTAACCCAGGAAGAGACTTCCGAAGACGCCTTGGAATATCTGAGGCGTATTAACCGAGCACTTTTGGTGACAGACGCAGCTACACCATATTTTGCACGAGTCTGGGCCGTAGCGAGAGACTGTTACGCCGATGTGAGAGATAGACGAGTCCCACGGACTGATGGTGTCCATCTGGAATGCCATGTTCGGCGGCAATGTGACCAGAGAAGTAGCCCGCGCACCGAAGGTCTCGTTAGCAGACACGTGGTCTTGTGCTGTCTTCTGGAGCTGAAGGTTGTCTCTCAGCATGAATGGCTGATTGATTTCTCGAGTCTTGCATTGTGCCCCTTGAGCCGTGTCGATCTGTCTCCTTTCCCTTGCCACGGTCGTTGCTCTCTCAGCTCGTGAAACGTCAAGAAGGGCCAGGTCGACTCGAACAAGTCCGGAAGCAGACGCAATAGCTTTTCTCAGCTGCTCCCGCAGCGGGCGAATCTGGTGTAGCAACGACGCAAGCTCACGCAACTTTTGCCGACGATGTGCTTTCGTCGCACGACCTAATAACGTCGTTGGGGTACCCATGGCACTGAGATATGCTCGTGCGGCATCATCGACCCGAGGCAGAATTTCTTCGAGATGGATGAGGATCCTCGAGATGGCAGGCAGTGGGCGATGGCATCGACCATGTTCGACATCATTATTCCTGCCCACAATGTCTGGGAGAAGAACCTTCAGGTCGGTGACTTCATTCTTCAGCGCAAGGATCTCATCTGGACATTGGCCAACCGATCGGCGAATTTGCTCAAGTCTCGTGTACACGGTGCTAAGGCTGGCATTGAACGAGTCAACCGATCCCTTTTCCTGGTATTCCTCGAAGATCATAGACATGGCAGTAAACCTATGTCAGTGCGTTGATTCCATCGAGTTTAAGTAAGTGTCCAAGGCTTGCCGGCGCACAGGGTTGTCACAGTGTTGAATCAGCGCCTTAATGTATCCGTGCCCTGGGTCATCGGGCGCATGCGGCAGCTGGTCATGGCAGCAGGGGCCAGGCTGTTCGGGCGTCGTTTGCCTGACCACAAGTCCAAGTTGTCATCGGATTGGCTGGTGTGAAGAGCATGCCGGGTAGGTGCATGAAAATAACAACTAAAGTGAATCCCAGGATGCTTTGTATGTTACCGTTTTGCATCGACTGGAGATTCAGCCCAGTTGAATTTTACAGCCGAGGTGAAATTGGCAGGGAAAGGACAAGCCACAAAGTTGAAGGCGTCCGACTCTCACACCTTCGCTAAGGTTGAAATCTGCTAATGTAAGTAGGAGAGGGTATGACACTTTACACGAGCGTCAGCTCTCGCAACTCGATATATGACGCCCTTCCTCCCCTCCTCCCTCCTCCTCTTCATCTCACCGGAATATGGTCGACGATTGCAGAAGAAGCAGGCCATGACCAGCCAAAATGAGCTTCGGATTCAGCCTAGGCGACCTTGTCACCGTGCCACAGTTCGCGTGGAACGTGTATCACACCTGTAAGAAATCACCCTCAGAGGCTCGCGTCATCGCATCCGAGCTATTCACCCTATGTGGCATCCTACAGACCTTGGGCGATGGTAGGGCGCATTACATGCGAACGCTGGCCGAGAACGAAAGAGTCCGACTACTCTCAGCCTACAATGTGTGTCGAGATGTGCTCGAGGAAGTCTCAGCCACTCTACGCAGGCATTCCGAGTTGAGCAAAGACAATCCTCATCTCTTTGCACGCTTAAAATGGGGTGCCGAAGACGTCCCTGCGTTGAGACTGCGCATCATCTCCAGCACCTCGCTGCTTACTGCGATCCAAAGCAGTAGACAGTCGTATGGACACCCGGAACCCTCCATTTATCCATGAACTAACGTGGGCTTAGACTATCGGAGTCAAGAGTGGAGGACAAAGTCGACCAGATCCTCTCGCGACTAGATTCTTCACCATACGAGTGGTTCCGGTCGCCGTCAAGCCCTAATCGTAGCCTCGAGATTGGGCACATACCTCAGAGGCTGCTCCCAGAGAACGAAAACGACAATCGTTTGATGCTTCCGCTAGAGCAATTGAACAGATCTTCACTCCTTCAGCTGCCCGCTTCAATCAGAGAAACTCAGACACCCATCGATTCGGAGTCACGCAAAGGACTTCTCAAGCCATCTCGTCGACTACTTGGCTCATTCACAAGACCTTTCTCCCACTCGAAACCATCTACTTCGACCAAGTCGGACGATCTCCCTCGCGCGGCCGCCGCTTCCAACATCCCCAAAATCCAACACCTTCTCATGTCTGGCTACCCGGTTGACCATGTCGATAGTAGTCATGGCTACACTGCTTTGCACAATGCTGGCATGTCCGGCTGCGTTACCACCCTCGCCCTCCTCCTCTCGCATTCAGCCTCGGTCTCGATAGCAGACGTAAACGGCGCAACCGCCCTCCACCACGCCGCACAGAATGGACACGTGGACGCATCCCTCCTACTCATCCAGAAAGGGGCAGATATCGACGCTGCGGACAGCGCCGGACATGCACCGTTGTTCTATGCTTTGCAGAATGGACATCTCTCGGTCGCAAATGCCTTGCTCGGACTGGGTGCGAAGATGGCGCTGCTGGCGGATGGGGGACAGACATATGACTATTGGGCGAGTAGACTTGCTCCTTGCGCCGAAGAGATCCGTCGAGGTGAGACGCAGGACGATTCCTGACTTCACGATAGGCAATCAAAAACGAAGAAGGTTTTCGGGATAAACATGAAGGAGGTGAGGATATAGTGTCTTGTTGTCCTGTCTCTCTTTGTTCAGCTGGATCGTCTGGAACGGTTCAGCTACATAGGAAGCTTCGACTGTGGGGTGGTTTGCTTGGTATTTGTTTTGTGTGTTACCTCCCGTGGTCACTTACATCATTTCTTCTGTGTGGCGCGACCGAGACTCATACCCACCTCGACATCCATCATGATCAAGTGACGGCTCACACTGAGTAAGTCCTCGTCGAACTGGATGCGGCCCTCCTCGAATGCGACGATGATGCTCGATCCACCAAACTGGAACAAGCCGACCTCATCGCCCTTCCTCACCTCGGAACCGACCTGCTGGCACTTGGGGTTGATTTCGACGGTGCCCACGTTAGTCGCGCCGATCGCCACGAACAGCACCTTGCCAAATTCCTTGGAGTTGATGCACACGGCACAACGCGCGTTCGTGGTCAAGACGTCTATGTCACTTCTGAGGCACAGCGGATCCACCTGGTAGTAGTCACCGGGGATCTGTTTGAACCATTCAATCGTGCCGTTGACAGGGGAGTGGTAGCGGTGGTAGTCTTGAGGCGAAAGCCGGAAGCTCGCGATGGCGCCGTTGTGCCATGGTTTGGCAACTTCGTCGTCGCATATGAGGTTGCCTACGGTGAAGTTCCTCCCCTTGATCCAGAGTTTCTTGGTCTGCGCCACAGTTGGGTAGACCACCAGACGACAGTCTGCGACCACCACGGCACGCGTGGGGTCGTTCTGCTCGAAGATGGGTCGTGCGCCAGGTCTGTGCTGTCGCACGAAAAATTCCTCAAAGGTGCGATACTTGTGGATGTCGGAAGGCGAAAAGTCGTCCATATTGATGTGATAGAAGTCCACGAAAGCCTTGATCTGACGAGCTGACGCTGGTGTACCTTCCTCTTTTCCTGTTTCGCCATTTCATTGGTTAGCATCATCGAGATTTGCAGGGAGCATGTACCGAAGACAGGACGAGCGGCCATGCAGGGACTTCTCACCGGCTGTGATGGTCTTCTCGTGGATCCACAGCCGAAGCCACTGCGTACGATCCAGCCATTCAACTGGACGACTGAAGAGAACCCAAAGCTTTATCTTTTTCCATACAGGCTGTTGTTCGCGCTCAAGGCGGCCTGTTTTGCGATTCAGTGTTTTCCAGCCTATCTGGCGGTTTTGGACGAGTTTAACCGTCGAGAGAGCATGGTCCAGGATTCGGTGGATCCACTGCAAGATGAGGTCGAACATTGTTTGTCGTAGGTATGATGCTATGATTGTGAAACTGTTCTAAATCTGAAGATTGGCCACAGTCTGTATGATTTGGAGGGTTTGAGGAAATGAAAAAAAAGAATTGTATCAAACTTGCACTGTCGGATTTCATCTCCGAACTTAACTTGTGCTGGAACTAGTGTAACGTCATAGCTCTGACATCAGTCACCGCAATTTGGAAGCGATGCTCAATAGACACTGGGGCATCCAGGATAGTTGAGGCCCACGAACCTCGAGGCTGGTCTGAGATCGTTGGTGTGCTGGTGGTATCGCTACGCTCCGAGTGCACCACGGCCAGGACTCTGACCGTATTCGTTGACAGTTGAGTCAGCTAGCCCAGGTTGTTGGAATTGCGACTCTCCTTCCCCAGAAACTGTCCGCGTATGGACCTTACAGGCGTGGGCGGCGACGTTTCTTTGATCTGGCAGTGTCTAGTGAGCGCAGTAGGTGTGAGGCCATTGATATCGTCTCAGAGGGGCATCTCTTCTGCGTCTGGCGCGCCCGATGAGGCTGGCGATCTGCGGGATGCTCTGATGAGTCCTTGCCGTACAATGGAGAATTGACTGAAGCACCAGTAGGTAGGTACCTGGCTAGCCTAAAGGGATCGTAAAGGAAGATACACCCTGAATCAGAGGGCGCAGTTGGGCGTCGAAGGTCTCAGTTTAGGTGATGTGGTAAAGCGGCACAGGCTATTTCTTTTCTGGTTAGTGTCATTTTACCCGTCGCACAGCCTTTCGCCTTACAAGCCGCCAAGGAAATCAATTGTCTGGTTCAACGGCGATCAACAATCATTCATTTTCAATAACTGAGGGGGTGCTCACAGCAATTCCAGCGGTCTTATCAATCTAATGTTCTTGATGCGGTCACGATGAATGATAGTCCTGTCGACCCTCTGGCGGAATTGCCACCATATCTCCGCGACATACTGAATCAGCTACCGGAAGACCACTCTATTGCCCTCAGCGAAACTGCGGGCCCCTTGATATCGGATATCAAGAAGCTGACGGATCGGAGGAAAAGATATGCGTACTTGCTTCTCTCCCGTCACCGTTTGACTCGCCTTCTGGCCGAATGTCCCGGTCCCTGTCCAGATCTCATCCTCCGCCGTGCTGAAGTTTACGAGGCCCTCGGGTACAGTGAACTAGCACTGGCGGATGCATATGTCTCGTACACCCTTTGTCTCGTGGCTTTAGATGACCCCGATATCTCAGACCTTGAGCCCGTTGATCTGGAAGGAAATCCTTGGCCGCCTTCCGATGACGGCCAGAGCGAGAATGACCCGAACCCTGTGGCACTGAAGCAAAAGTACCGCTCACTTGTGCTAATGTGTCGCTCTGCCATTATCCTGGGTGTACAGACCCAAGCGAAGCTGTGGATCGACGAGGTCTTGGCGGTGAAGAGGATCATCCGGCGCCTGAACGGAGAGGAGCCTCGAGAGCCGGTCCGGGATATTGAGGAGGTTGTGGGAGATTTTTCCGAGTATTCCACCATCTATGAGGACGAATCCAAATTCCACAAATGTGTCAAACTCCTTCGACGCGATGTCAAGCCCACTCTGTTTGGGTGGTGTCAACGCCAAATATACCCTTGGAATGAGTATGAGCCCGACAGAATGTCCAGAGAAGCGCTGATCGAGATCAACGAGAAGCTCCACGTGGTCGCCCCGGATCTGGAAGTAGAAATATCCACGTTGCCTACTCTTACACCTTCGAAGGATGAGGGTATGCAGAGACTTTCTGTTGGTGAGCTGAGAACCTCTGTGTCTTCTACAGCCAATTGCTCTTCGCAACTGGGGCTGTTTGCCAAAAAGCAGCTTGCGCCGGGAGCTACCATTTTGAGAGAGCGATCGGTCCTAACAGCCATACGCCCACATGGCGAAGCCCTCTGTGATGCTTGTGCGGCTGACTTGGAAGATATCGACCGAGGGGATCGGAGATACTGTGTAGGATGCAATATACCATTCTGCTCGGAAGAATGTCAGAGAGCTGCCAATGAGCGTTACCACCACCCGAACGAGGAAGACTACGAGACCGATGAGGGCTATCCTCCCGCTGAAGCCCCTTTTTGCCCTGGATCTAGTGGCAATGACGACCTGCACACACTTGGTCGAGCTGAAAGTTCGACTACCCCCGAGTGGGATTTGTACTTCTTGCTCTTGTCACGAACCCTGCAACTGGCCGAGACCCAGAAATTGCATCCGTTAGATCTCTTCGAGACAAAGTATTTGTGGGGGGATTTCTCCCCGACCCCCGAAGTCATTGATCTCCCACTCAAGAGTGGTCCGAAATCACTACCATACAGCGTACGCCATCATGTTGAGTTGCCTCTCCAATGGTTTGAAGTTCTCATGCACTCACGAGAGAGATGCAGGCCATACAGTGCCACGTGGCTGAAAAAATACGACTGGTGGATCATTCAGACGCTCTTTTCCAAGTTTCGAGGAGTAGCAGATGCACAACAATCGACGTGGACGGGTAAGCCTGAGGTCGCAGCCGTTCATCCGCTCTGGTGTCTGGCGAATCATAGCTGCAACCCAAATGTGACTTGGAAGCCCTCGGGAGTAAGAAATCTGACAGTCGTCCAGGAAAGGGTGTGGGAGAGGCCCGATTCGCCGTCGCCAACCACGTGGGAAGGGATTCATGCTGGTGAGGAGATTTGGAACCATTATACAGATGTGCAAGAAACCGACTATCGAGAGCGGCGAGCCCGCTTGCAAGCGGTCCTCGGAGGGGATTGCCGGTGTGAGAGATGCACATATGAAGCGAAACAACACTGAGCCCTGGCATGGCGCCACGGAGCCGGTGACCAGCGAAGAGCAGCTCGACAGCAGCCAGGAACTTTCAGCATTCCGGAGACGGCCAATGTGCTTTTCGACACCACCAAATGCTTCTCTGTATTTGCGGCTGCATATAATATTGGACAGAGGCATGTTAGCAACTGAAATGCTCCCCAATCTGCCAAATATCAGTAGGTACGACCGGTTTCAAGAAGCCCTACTTGCGGCAGGTGATCCTGAACCCTCGTTGGGCTGGTCACTGCTTGACAAACGGAGGAATCTGGATCGCTCGGGGCTTGTATATTTGTTATCGTCTCGGTATCGCTACTGCTCTCATTGCGTTCCTTTTTTGCAGCCCGATCAGTCACATGTTGGCAAAAAATCAGCTTTTGGGAAGCATTGATCAGGTATGGATCAGGATTACGGCGACCATCCACAGCAGAAATATCATTATCGACCACGCATGCCGCTTGCGTCACGCATCAGGTCTTTTGCAACAGCTTTGAGGCCAGACAAGACAACACTTCCACGCCTTGGACAGTATTCAAAGGCTTTCTTCCTGGACCACTGGCTCGACGTTGTTTGTGTCCTTGCCATCGCGGGCATTACGGGAGCGGTAAGTATGCATTAAATATATGCCTGTTGGTTCATTGTCCAGCGCTGACCAGCAACCACAGATTTGGATCATTCCTGCCCGTCCGCATCATCTATTTCCACTCCTTACCCCTGACGGTGCCACTTATAATCCCTTGATCGGCTATCCGTATGTGACGCCTATATTCTCCTCACTTCTCACAGGTCTTCTCTGCGGCCTCGTGCCTCTTGCAGTGATTTTGCTTTCTCAAACCTTCGTCCGGTCCTTCACAGACCTCTCCTCTGCTACTCTGGGCCTCCTATATTCACTGGTGACGGGGACATGTCTCCAAGTCATTCTGAAGAAATTCGTTGGGGGACTCCGACCACATTTCCTAAGTGTCTGCATTCCGGTAGTGCCAGACAGGCTGATCGGATCTGGATACAACGGGATGATGTACCGTGCAGGAGATGTCTGCACAGGCAACCCCAAAGACATTGACAACGCGCTACAGTCATTTCCGTCAGGACACAGTGAAATTGCGTTTGCAGGGATGGGGTATCTCTCGATCTATCTTTTTGCCCATCTTCACATCGGCGACGCCTCTAAGCCTGAAAAAAGGGGGTTTTGGCGCATGATTTTGGTGCTCACGCCTATCCTGTTTGCGACTTACATCTCGAGCACGCTCGTCTTAGGATACCACCACTTTGCGCACGATTGCTTGTTCGGTGCGGCGATTGGCTGTTTGACCGCGGTGTTGGGGTACAGGATTGCTTTTAGAGGGTTGCTCGATGCGAGGATGAACTGGAGACCCAGGGTGGGGAGAAGATTGAGGAGGGTAGTGGACGCGGAGTTAGACAAGGGACACCATGTGGGATTGGAGAGGGAGTCTTGGACTGATGGCACAGCGGCCGACGTCGTTTCGAGGAGGTCGACTCGTCATGGGCGAGGCACGCGAGGCGAGAGCCACACAGGGAATGAGCCAGAGATGGATGCTCGCAACTGACAACGGGCGAGAAGCTAGTCGCATCTTTATGTTGAGGGTTGGATATCATGTGGATAGAGCGAGCGCCTCATGGTTTCGCTAGGAGGGCTGGGGGAACATTGAGATGGTCGGCACCGAAGAGACGGTATAACAACGAACCTTTTACACATTTTCACGTTTACACATTTGGGCGGCGTTTCTATTGTCATCTCAGGCCAGGGGCAATGTGGACATCAGAGCTCATTCAAGGTGGCACGAATCTCAGAGGACGTCTCTGCCGGAAACGCACATCATCAGATTGAAATCCGTTGCCGTTCCTCTCCAGCATTGAGCTTCAAGCCATGTTCGACCCGGTGTTGGGCTTGGTATCGCCCTCGGCGGCTTGAGTGGTCGCCGCCGTGTCGAGAGAAAACCCGTGCTCCATCTTCGGTGTATTGGGAACACTGCTTTCGTCCGCTCCGTTCCCATTGTTGTTCTCGGCCTTGAATTCGTGCTTGGCTGCGGGTTCCTGCTTGATCTTGCTCTTTGTCTTCTGGAAGTCTTCCTCCTGTATATGTTCTCTGCCTTTTTCCCTCTCCCGCTCCATTTCCCCTTTCTGCTTGCGAGCGGCTTCCCGCTCCCTCCTTCTGCGCCTTCGTTCTTCCCTATCGTCTTCTCCGCTGGCGCTGGTCAACGGACTCAGTAACGGAGTTCCTAGAGGCGTGCCGTCACCTCCACGTTCTCGATTCCCATCTTTGTCTCTGCGTCCGTCTTTTGCCGGCTTCCTTCTGATGCTGGCTGTGCTGCTCACCGAGCTTCCTCTCCTCATTCTCTCAGAAAAAGGCCGGTCGGCGGACACGTCAAACTCGAGATGTGGCGTGGAAGAGCGCGAGGATTGTCTGCTTCGGCTGTGCGTGGATTCAGAGTCGAGGTTGGTGCTCCTTCTCTTGCTGGCTGTACCACTCAACCCTCGAGTGTGCGCACCACCCTCCCTTTCTGATAGGCTGGCGCGGTGTGAGCCTGTCCCGGCGTGTTGCAAGTGCGGATGTTTCTCCAGATCATGATGCCGTCTCTGGCCATGATGTCTAGATGACTGTAGTCGCCAAGCACCTGTCCACCATTTCCAGCCTCCCGCCTCCTTTGCCTTTGCTCTCCTGAGAGTATTTAACTTTCTCCTTAGTCCTGCCCTCCGCTCGTTCTCTTTTTCCCAATACTCTGTGCGATAATCTTCCCAGTTCTCCCGAAACTCTGGGGAGAAGGACTTCGGGAGCAAGAGAAGCATGATGGCGTCGCCTCCCTTGGCGAGATCTTCCTCGATCACCAGGCCGTTTTCGTGTTCGACAAGATGCCAATCTGAGCCTCCTGCTTCGCGCCAAAGCCCGAAGGGTAGTAAGAAGGAGAGGTGGCTGAGCATCTCCCTCCAGAACTTTCCCCGAATCCTAACTACGCGGAGGTTGAAACCCCTCAACCCTCTGTTTGTTGTACCTAGCCATTTTCGGGGCCAGCGGATGCCTCTTTCCCATTGTCCTGTGCCCCAAACAAGGAGAACCGTGACAATACCACCCATCAAGGCGAGTTTCTCCGACGTTTCGACGACCCAGTACACAGAACCACCCAGGCCGGTGCCATCTTCTCGAGGACGCAGGAAGAGAGCATAGAAGAACAGGCTGTTCCAAGCAGCCAGCAGCAGCAGGAAGAAAGTGTTCAACCGACGGCGGGAGACAAGGTGGAGATACTGTGCGCGCAGGGACGACTCGAGAATCAGGAGGTTCAAGTAGATCTGCGGAGGCGAGGAGGGCAAGGTGGCTAGAAGAGGGTCGAGGGAGGACTGCTCGGAGGCCTGTTTTCCTAGAGAATGGAGTGGAGCAGAGGGCAGTGGTCGGATGTCTGTCGTGGGTGCACCTTTAACTATTTGATTGAGGCGAGATTCGGGCGAGGACATCTTCGAGGATGTCGTGGCGGGACAAGCAAAGACGTTGTTCAGTGTAGATTAGTGTAGTGCCATGGAGAATGTGAGATGCTGTTTGGGCTATTGTTCGTCTACCGCTATACCATCAAGCTCGCACAGAGGGTGGTGCAGTGCGCTTCGGGTGACTGGAGCGGAGTGACAAGGCTTTGATCGGGGAGTGCGGTTCGAGTCAGGATGTTCGCATGATGGTTCCTGCAGGAGATGACGAGCGCCAGGCACCAAGATTTCTTGAGACTTGAGGTAATAATCACAGGAGCAATTTTGGGGACTTTGCAACCTTGTCACACTCGGGCTGCACAAGAACGGACGAAGGTGTGTCAGTTGGAGAATGATCAAGTGTTAACTCCGGGCTGCATGTGGTGGGAGCATTTGACCGGGTGTTTAGTGGGTTGGCGGGCAGTTGACAGGGGGGGCATTGAGGGCAAAGCCGGCTGAATTGCAATCCGAGTGGCTGATCTGACCCTCTGGTGCCTCCTTGCCCTGCATCTTCATCCGCGTCTATGATGTCGGCGTTGAGGAAATGGGGAAAAAAGCGAAGAATTCTACTTCCTGTATCTCGGATCTATCGCTGCCTCTGGGGGGCCCCTTTACGCTCATTTCGCTTTTATTGTGCATTAATGCTTCTGCCTGGCCTACGCGACATCAGCGGCTAATGCCAGACTTCCATACATGTCCTTGAAATAGATTACCTTCTTCCCCTTACCTCACTTGGTGAATGTCCTGTATATGAGACGAACGCTTCCCTCAGCCCTTCCGCTCCTAGAGGCAGCTCCCCGATCCCCCATCATTTATCCTCGTCGGTTCCAGTCCTCAATCACATCCCCCCCTCTCACAACCGATCCTGAAGACCTCAATCTGCCTCCCACCTCCCACCATCCTCCCGTCATGTCTGCCTCCATCTCGGCGGCCGACTCAGACAGCGAAGTGCAATCTCGAACCCAGCAGAGTCCCCTCGCCTCCCAGCGAGCCAATGCTGAGAACCCACGACGATCTCGCATCGAGGGCCTTTTCCCTCTGTCGTACAAACAAGGATTCTCACAGTGGTGGTCCGCTCTCCCTGCTGCTCAAGCAGAACACCGAGTGCTCTCGTTTGTTCCACATTTGCAGCAACCCCCAACACATGCAAAGACAGGCTCTGCGCCACCCTCACAGACCAACTCTACCGTCGCCATAGACAAGACCGCCTCGCCAGAAGCCACCACCTTCACAGACTCGATCACAGATCCGCACGGCCCTCGAACGTGGCACTCTCGCCTCGTTCCTCTCTCGGGGAAGAACCGCGCGTTGAACGAGTTCTCTGTTGTGCGCAATGTCCCCGAAGAAGGCGATCCGGAACATAACCTGGTCATACTGCACGGCTATGGGGCAGGTCTAGGTTTCTTCTACAAGAATTTTGAGCCTCTTTCCCGGGCGCCAGGGTGGCAACTCTATGCTTTGGATATGCTGGGCATGGGCCGCAGCTCGAGACCGCCATTCAAGTTAAAATCCAAGACGAGAGAAGCACAAATAACCGAGGCGGAGGATTGGTTCATCGACTCATTGGAGGAGTGGCGAGTCAAGAAGAAAATTGACAAGATGACGCTTATGGGGCACAGCATGGGAGGCTATATGGCTGTGTGTTATGCGCTGAAATATCCTGGCAGACTGAATAAATTGATTCTCGCCAGCCCTGTAGGAATACCAGAGGATCCTTACGCCACGCACGCAGCTATGCCGCCGCCGCCAGATTCAACGGGACAGAATGAAGTCACGCAGGATCAAGAGACCACTGACAACAACAAACTATTCAATGGTCGCAAGAAGGCAGAGAAGGAAGCGCAACCGAAGCAGAAACCGAACCCCAACCGCCTCCCAGTGCGGGACACCTCTTCAGCAGAAAACTCGTCTTCGGACGAGACCTCAACACCTGCGCCGCGTCGCCCTCTACCAAAATGGCTCACCTATCTTTGGGACGCAAACATCTCCCCGTTCAGCTTTGTTCGGTGGTCCGGTCCTTTGGGTCCGCGCCTTGTCTCAGGGTGGACGTCTCGGCGCTTCTCACATCTGCCCCCGGAAGAAGCCCTCGCGTTACATGATTACAGTTACTCTTTATTTCGGCTCAGAGGTAGTGGGGAATATGCGCTCGCCTATATTTTGGCTCCCGGAGCATTTGCAAGAAGTCCTTTAATCCGACGGATTGGGGCCGTGGGGAGACAACCTCTCACAGCTTCGACACACGAGGTCAATGAGCAAGGCCAGTTGGAGCAGTTCCCAGGATCAACTTCAGCCGCGCAAAGTGAAACTACTTCGTCTACGCTGGCTTCTGCTTCACAAAATGTCGCGAGAGAAAAAGGGATCCCAGTCGTATTGATGTATGGTGAAAACGACTGGATGGACGTCTCAGGAGGATACGCTGCCAAGAAGAAGATCGACGCTGAAACGAGTCGCGCTTTGGCTGCCACTTCGTCCGAAGAGAGACACCAGGACCACGGGTCTGCGAAGGTTGTCATCATCAAGAACGCAGGACATCATTTATACCTTGATAATCCAGACGACTTTAACGAGGTGATCCTCGCTGAGATGGAAGATGTGCGGAGACGGTTTTTGAGGGGCCGAGAGAATTTGAGGTAGAAATTGGGGGCCTTGGAGTTGTGAGAGACGATAGAAATGGTCCAACTTACATGGGCAGGCAAATGGGTTATGGTGATTCGAGCATCATGATGACATTACGGGATTTAGACGGGCGTTATGTCCTTCTTTGCATACGTCGAGCGCGAAGCTCCGAGTTGGGCAATCATAGAAGGGCGAGCGGGCATATCTTCTTTGGTCCAATGCCTCTTTAACAACAGCTTGGTGAGGCGGGCTCTGTGGTGTCATTTCCCCGGTTCAACACGTGGTGACATTGTTGGTATTTTCTTCCGCTGGTTTGATTTGAAGCATACCAGTCCCGAGAGGAGTTGAGTGAGTCTCGGGTGGAGGAGATTTGAAGGGGCGATAGATGGGCTGGGCGACGTACACGGATGGTATTGATCGGATCTTTGGGGCCAGTGTTGCCATAGCATACTAGCCCTGTTCTACCGGTGGAAAAGGCGAC